GTGGGTAGAGGTTTGGGCCAGGGTGTTGATTTCTGGCGGGGGCTGCTGGGGGGCAGCGTCCTGGCAGGTCTCAGCCAGGTTCCTGGTTGTCCCCCCGCCCCGGTGCCGAGACCTGGCGGCTGCTGTCACGTACTGTAAATACTCTGTGTGCCACCTTCTCCTCTGGGACCCTCGGCGCGGGCGGGGGGCGAGCGGGAGGCTGGGTTCTGTACCGAGACTTTTTTGTATACCACAAACTTTTTGTATATTTTTAATTTTGCTGCAACATGAGATATTAAATTCATTTCAATAAGCTCTGCCTTGGGAACCTGTTCTTGTCAGCTCAGGCCCAGGGCTCTGCAGTGGGGCAGGACACTGCCGTTCTGTCCTGGGGTGCTTGGGGATGCTGGGGATGATGCTGCCCATCTGGTGCTGGTGGCCCTGGCTGGTGGTGGCCCTGGCACGGTGACCGGCAGGGAAGGGGTGCACAGGCAGGATGCAGCGTGTGGGGAGGAAGGACATGGCCACTACCGGACCAACCTCCGCCCTGCCGAGCCCCGGCCGACCCCCAGGACCTGGGGGGTCTCCAGGCCCATCCCATCTGAGCACAGCCTCCGCTCTGCCCAAATCCCAGCCCGGCCCCAGCCCAGGGGCCACCCTGAACCCCGGTGCTAGTCCCAGTCTCAGCCCCAGCCCCAGCCTTCTCCTGGTCCCAGTCCTAATGCCGGTCCTAGCCCCAGTCCTAGTCCAAGTCCCAGTACTGTCCTGATACCTGTCCCAGATCCAGTTCCAGTCCCAGTCCTGTCCCTGTCCTGGTCTCAGTCCCAGCCCAGTCCCAGCACGCCCCAGGAGGGGCAGGAACTCACATCCCAGCCGTCCTGGTGGAGTTTCCGACACAGGAAAAAGCTGCGGCGCCGAGCGGGGCGGTGGGGGCGGCTGGGCTGGAGGCCATGGACTGTGAGGCCAAGAAGGGCAAGAAGGTGCGTGGGGCTGAGGCTGGGGGTCCCGGGGGGCTGGCAGGAGGGTGACAGCGGGTGAGACATATGGGGACACCAGGATGAGGGTGGGATGGGGAACACTGCAGCAGAAAGAGGTGGGGTCCCCACAACTGCCCAAATGGTGCAAATTTGGGGTCAGGGAGCAGAGAGGTGCCCAGCCCCTCCTGGGGCACTGGGCACCCATGGACCTTGGGGTTGGGTGCTCAGTGCTGACGTCCCTGTGCCCGCTGTCCCTGCCAGGGCTTCGTGTCACCCATCAAGCGGCTGGTGTTCCCCAAGGCTGCCCGCAGGCCTGTGCCCCGCAGCAGCGTGTACCGCCGCCCGCTGCACTCCGTGCCCCTCTACCCCCCCGACTACCTGATCGACCCCCAGATCCTGCTGCACGATTATGTGGAGAAGGAGGTGAAGGTAAGGGGGTGGGGAGGGTCCCCAGGGATGTCTGAGGTCCCTGCCTGGGTGTGACAAGGGGGATGAGGCCACCAACCAGGCAGAGGGCACCACCTGCCGTGTCCAGGAGGGTCCTGGTCCCCTCCTTGGCCAGATAACAGCCGGGGAGGGAGAGGAAGGGACTGGGGGAGCAGGGAAGACCCCCTATTGCAGGGTGCCCTGCACCCCAAGGAGATGCATGCAGGATATGGGTGCTCTAGGGGGACTGTGGCCCATAGGGTGCAGAGGGTGCACACATCCAGCTCCCCCAAATGCTTTGAGTTTTGTGGCCCCCACCTCCAGTTTTTAGGTCACCTGACATGGGTGACAGCGTCCCTGAACCCCTCCAGCCGGGATGAGGTGTTGCAGCTGCTGGACACGGCCAGGGTAAGAGGGGTCCTGACTCCCCCCGTGTGCTCCCTACCTCCGGGTGCCCCCCACCTCCGGGTGTCCCCCACCCCTAGCACGGCTGTGCCCCCACAGCAGCTGCAGGAGCTGCCGCTGCAGACGACGTCCGCC